TTTTACCATGTAACTTTCAGGGCATGCTAGTAATCATTGCTACTCCTTGATAAGTTAAAAACACTATGACCTTCTACAGTTGCATGCCTGAAAGCTCAGACCATTTAACCGTAATTATTTCATGAAATGTTTGCTTGGTTTTCGCACAAAATAGCGTTTCATCTTCTTGATATTTTGGAAGCTCTAAATGAAAACTTCCATTGGATTTAGGATGACAAGCAAACACACATTAATCCAACCAACTTTCAGTTCGCCAAATGCTCGAGCCCTTTGATATTCCAATCGACTTTAAGCCACGCACTAATTTAAGGTGCAATATTTTCAGTAAAAGGTAATAAATGCCCAATGGATCAAGAGGTGCACGCGAATTTATGAGTCAAGGAAATGAAGAGACATCCCGTTCCACGCAAACTCTAAGAAATTTGCTTAAATTTCTTGTCCATTCATGACCTTTTTCAGCACCGATAGCATAATAGGTGCTGGACAAATGGGTTTCATGCAGTATGTAATCGCCGGGGATAAATATTGCTAGACACTTGTTTGCAAAAATGCACAGCTTTACGAAATTTGAAGTTGTCATGAGCATTTATACACCCACACATGTGGGTATTTTGATGTGGTCCAAAATGCTAATGGAAAAGTCCATTCAAACTTCTTTTGAGGTAAATGTGACATTCGGGTGCAATAAATATTAAAAAAGGATGTGAATGACAAGAAGAGTTACGGTTGCGAGAGAGGCAGGTTTTAGTCGATGTGGTAAACCAGTACGATTTGGCGAAAGCTAAGGCAAGTATTTTTGAAGCGCGCGTTTGCGAAAATCATACAATTTTTGCATAAAGGGTTAAAGATTCTGCATGTCCCTACATAACCATCTCGAGGTCGGTTAACCACAAATGGGTGGTAGCAGTAAGTCGTTGACAATGATTTTCATTAAGATTCAAGCATGTATATGCACGTGCAAATGGAGTCAATGCTTCAAAAGCAGACGTAAGTTACGATGTGTGCTGCTACAAATGCCAAAAGCATTGAGAACGCAATGTTTAAACCCTCAAGTGGTAATATGCAAATAAATTTGATTGAAAAGATTTAATAAAATCTGCTCATATAGGAGATTTGTAAGTACGCAATTACAAGACTAGTTTCCATGTTCGCTGAAAGCATTTTACGAAAACATTCAAATCTACATTCAGTAAGTGAGCCTCTGTTGGAACCATGGAGGAGGATAACGCTGGTTGTTAATGCACACAACCTTGATGACGTCTTTTAATCTTGAAACCCTATATGGTATTGGTTCTGTTAGCCAGATTTCAGGCAATTCCTGGGCAAAGGTGCTCTAGTAATTGCTAGGTACAAGTTGCATTTAATTTTTCCAGCCATCACCTCGCTATGTAATTTAATTTTTTGTAGCATTAACAATTTAGGCGGTAAATAATTTCTGCAATCGAAAATTGAGCATCGATGTATTTGTGGGAAAATACCGTTGATTAATGCCTTTGGTCTAGTTTCTTACAAAATTTTCTGCCGAAACTAGGGGATTTCACGTTCACAGGCAAGGCAACTACTGCTCTAATTTAATCTGACAATTAGGCGATAATTTAATTAACATTAAGCATTTCAGGATGGATGTAAAGGTTCTTCATCTTGATCAAATTCCGCCTTGAATTAGCCCTAAAACTGCAGAATTTCTTTACGCAATGTTTGAGCTCCTATGTACGCATGAGATCTCACACCCTTGAAACTCAAGGATGGAGCCCCTCTTACCTGTTAAAGCGCTACCATTCCGAGAACACTTATCTTCCTGTTAGACTTGAAAAGGACCTCATTTCTCGCAATGGTACCAGCGTTACGTTGTATTGTAAAAATACCTTAATATTTCATGAGAAATTGAACACAAGGAACGTCTGTTTTCTCAGAAAATGTGGAAGCGAACTGCAAGTAGACGAGCCTCAGTAGAAGTGGGAAAACAGATAGGTGCATATCGACCTCAAAAAAAAATTAACATTAGGAGCCCGCATAAGCACCTTCTCTCCAATACATTTGTTCAGATGGTTTAGCCCCGGGCAGATATTGTTCCCTTGAAAGACGCTGTAGCGCAACAAATTTTCACTGATAATTGTTTGCTGAAAGGGCGTTGGCACAAGTAACCAATAAGATGATAAAGGAAATACTTCAAGTGATCAAAGAATCGAAGAGGGAAAAACTATCTCAACGCTTTACTTACATCATCGGAGTACTTCCTTCGAGTTTGTGGTGTATAGAAAGTTGATCTACTTGAAGGTGGAGTGGAAAGCGAGCCAGAGGAGTTAGTTCCACCGCTGGGTGCGCCGTAGGCCGAAGGAGCACGATAACGGCCGCCTCTAGGACGCGTTAGCCCACTGCTAGAAGGTGGTCCACTTCCAGTGCTGGTAAAACTAGGACTACCACTTTTTGCGCTACCTGGAGCGTAGTAGCCGCTGAGATAAGTGCCTAAGGGACCGCCGTAGAGCATCCTCTATTTTCAAGATTCCTGGCTTATTTTTCAATAGATTTTCCTTTTTCGACGGTACAGAGTCGATACTAGCGCCGAATCCCAGAGGCCTTGTTGTATTGCTGGTAGAATGTCGCAATACTAAGATGATGTCACCCAATGTACACGTGTGTATGCGCACGAACGCACGCACGCACACACGGATCTAACCAAGCACATGTGCACAATTTCATTGATTCATACCCATTTGCCCAGTAGGACAGACAGACAAGTGGGGTGGGACGTGCGCACATGCACATAGTATCTGCCATTCCCTCCTGCAGCGCCGACGTTGATTGCCTTAGGCCAACCAATCGACGCATGGAGCTGAATGCCGCATGCGCAGAATCGATGCGCGCGTGTGCACACCCAAGTCCCGGCGATTGTGCTGCAGAGTTAGGTGCATGCGTGCGTGCACGCTTCGCCCTGTAGGGCTGGTATGAAAGCACGATAAAAAGGGCCTCGGACGGGCGTTTTAGAACTACTTATGGGGACTTCACAGAGCAATACCTCCCGTGGTGAGGCTACAGCACGCTGGTCCCAGCTGTAATGGAGAATTTTTGAGTGTAATGTAAATTAAAATTGAGTGAATCAGTGCTGCTGTTGAGTCTCCTGCGACAATATTAGGGAAGCTAAAGCATTAAATCACCTAAAAATACGGTACTGGCTATTGGTCTCCCGTCAGGCTAAGTGTATATCTACCATTATCAGAAGTTCAGTTGTTGAATGGAATGTTTTAGCTAGGTATTGAAAGAAGGCAATTGTATAAAATTTAACCATTCCAGCACTAACTTTGCCTTGAAATGACTGATTTAATTGCAGAGATAGATTTAAATTTTTTGTGGAATTTGTGAGACACCCAAACCAAATGAGATAAAAGTTATTTCAACACATGG